TAAGTAAATCTTGCTCTGGAGGGAAGAAAAGAAAAAAATATCTTGCATATTGTTAAGTCTCGTTAAGTAATCGTCTATATGTTACTTACGCTATATCAAAGTACAAACATACAATCAAGAATTCCATTTACCACCCGTTGCGCGCGTCAAGCAGCGATTGTTGGTTGATTCCGTTGATATCATGACCTATATCAAACAATTGTGAATTAATGCCGCATAATATGTCTAATTGTAATATTGGTCTAGTAATGACTCGCGAAAGTAATATTGTAAGATGATATCATATCAGATACTGTTGAAATTAGCATCATTCGTGTCGATGTCATGTAACAGGCTCATCTTATTACAGTGACCATGGACTTCGTCTAATACTTTCCCGAAAATTATCACAACAGTTTTGGTTCTCTGGTGAATGACAATCATGTAGGAAGATTTGTTATCTGGTCGATGTTTCTGTGTCGATCATTGCAACGGAAATTGCTCGTGTCGTTGTCATAAATACGATGTTACTTCACGGTGTGCCTTGTTAGTTTGCCCTAAGCCTGGAACCTCGATATACGGCGGTTATATAAGCCCGTGATTTGTTCCAAAGGAGCGTGGTAGGTGACGTCAGCTTCGAACCATTGAAAACAAATGGATAGATCGAAGTTAAATCGTATCCTCAACGATATACTTTTGGGTTACGTCCACTTGTTGACAAGTTGAAGCAAGCTCTTTTGCTAACGAGAAATGTCATCAACAACTCGTTGCATGCGTTCACCACGCATACACCGTTCTTTGTGAATGGGGTACGTTATCCGCGCATCCCCACCTTGTTAGCGCGTGACTCTCGTTTGGATAGGTCAGGGATCGCTTGAGCAAAACTGATCTGGCTATTGTCAATCAAGTGCCGAAGCCAATGTCAATGCAAGTGGTACCTAAGTCAATCAGATAGACATCGGAGAAAAGCATCCGGCAATATTGGTGCATATGCGTTTGACTCCGTCGATAATAATGAGGTGAAGCGACCAATGAAATTCGCGATACGAGAACAGATCGCGCTCCAGTTATTTACGAACTCGAAAACGGTTCGCGGCGCCCGTCCCACACCTGATCGGATCACATTCACTGGCCTGTTAGACAGATTCGGATATAAGATCCGAGAGGATGGGACCTGCGGCATCAGATTAAAGTATGACGGACGGAGGGCACAAGTCATGGACCTATCATTACTGTCCAGGGGACGATCTCGGTAGCGGTCGCGAGCGAGATCGCGATCAAGGAGGAGATTGAGATCGTGATCAGGTGTGTGACCGCAATTGTGATCTACGATTCGGTATGTGACGGCGATCAAGCTAATGTGGGTTACACTACACGATCAGCGACCAGAAAGTCGATTGCGATCAACAGGGATGTCAATTGTGTGCCACACAAGTACAAGGGTGCGACCTTTTGAAGAGAGCGGCACGTGGCATGCGGTGTTTAAGATAGGGGGGTAGGGATATGTTTGTTGGGTTTGATTGGTAAACATTGAAAGAGTTCAAATTGATCCCTTCTACACAAGACACGTAGCTGCCTCTCCCGGCAGGAGCTCATGGTGGACTCTCGGAATTGGAGGTTGCTACGCGTCTCTGATGACAAAGCCTCTCGATCACTTGGCTTTTCGTCTACGCGCGACATGGCACATGTTCGGGCTAGAACACATATTGGCCTTTCGATATTTCATGGGTGTCACACGTCCCAGTCGCATCAGTCTATGGATCGTATGGCTAGGAATAGACTCTCAATTGGATTTATGCGCTCGGTTACGCAATCAGAACTTTGACATGGATCAGTCTGTCCATGAGCCGCGGTGACTTTCCGGGCAGGAGCGTATATTGGCCTCCCGATGATCAAGGCAATATAACTAGATGATCAAGGCAATAGTACCGCGCGTTTACAAAGACGAATTAATTCCTGAATAATTTGGCCAAGGATTATAATAGATGCTGGAACTAATTATTAATTATCAGAGTATTGAATATTTCAATTGGCTTCTAAGGACCCGTGTCTTCTCTTCCGGGATGGATTGTTTGGCTACCCGACGTCACGGACTACACTACATCTTCACAAGTATCGCACATGGATTGTTTGGCTGGGTGCGTCCAAGGACTATTACCCCCTATAACTGCGATCGGAAGCAGTAAACCCTTTGTGGTTGAAGAATCACGCAGGGAACCCTTTGTAGTTGAAAATTGAAGATCTCGAGACGGCTCAATTGGTCAGAAGGCTCGCGAATCAAGGTCTATATATTGGATAAAGCGATCTGTCACAGATCATGGTGACTCATATCGAGCATTCTACAAGTACATAAGTGATCCCGTGACGATTTCCACAAAATCACGCTAGCCCCAGATCGCGATGTGAAGATTTTTGCACTGAGACCGAACCCCATCGCAAAAATGGTCAAGTTTTCTACCGACACGAGTACACCTGGAAGAGTACAACCCGCTTTACCGACGGTACGCAGGGTGAGGAAGGCGATCAAGAACACGGGAAAGAAGTTCTTCTTCCGACAATCAGTCGTCTGGGCGCCAGTGGAGTTTCGGGGTCACAAGGAGTTTGTGATCACCAATCCACAATGACGATGCTAGATAGTGGGGTGCCGAAAGTGACGACACAAGCAAGGACGATGACGTCCTCACTGATAAAATCATGTCTGCAATAAAGTCAATGCGCAGCAATAAATACAAGTATTTGTCGGCAAAAATATATCCGCAGGAACCTATATCAGACGTCCTCCTCGGGTAAAATTCCATCGCGAGAGCGGTAAATCGACAATACAAAGTGAAAAAAATTGTTTTTGTAGTTTGTAAAGGTGACCTATACCTACTATCTACATTAAAACTTACCACACGCAGTACCTTACGTGGGGAGCAGTTTACGATTGCTTGAATATATGGCCCCGTGTCGTGGTCTGCGTCGCTTAGGCAAAGCATAGAAGATCGAAATGACACGAAAGACGCGCACATATATTATACGTTACGTGAAGAGCATCATTACATACTGTTAGTACGAGCCTTCTTTCGACGTTAAAGATGCCCAACGTGTAAAAATCTCCACCAAATTTTTGCGTGCAAGGTCTCGGCTTCCAGCCTGATCGAGTAGGGTAGGGACCCCTATACGTAATGGGATAATTAATTCTGACGCGCCACTGATCTTGTCTATAGAACTATTCCCTTTTGATTATTCAGCAAAAATAAATAGTACTTGGTGCGCTCCTGTACATGTTAGCACGAGGCCTCTGCCCAGAATATGACCAGCGTTAGACGTCTATCCCGCTCATGTTTGAGATCTTCGCGTATCCCAGAAATTTACGTGTTTCAGTTCCACAACATGATCCTGGCCCGGAAGTTATGCGAGTCAGTTCTTTCTGCTACCACCATATCATTTTTATACTTGTGGCGGTTTTCAACGCTTTTTTGGATAGCGCATCGGATTCATTTCGCGACATGAAGGCACGTCGAACAAGTTACGTCCTTCAATTGCACATACACTAGCCTTCGTAGGATGGTTGAAAGCTTCGCTGTTAACTGCTGGCTGACGTACTCAGTAATGTTCAGCAGTAGGACAAGGATACCTGATGGCATCGATGGGCTTGCAATGTCGCAATACCTAAGTCCATCTTAGAAGAGATGCGCACCATCCATAGGGCCGATTAGGAAGAAAGGAGTCTATAGGAGAATAGATGAAATTGATAAGACACCTCTGACATGGGTCGCCACATGGGATACAGGATAATTCTGCCTCTCTAGACAGCCCGTGCAAGAAGTAAAACGCGTACCGGTTTAATTACGCTTTTCTAAAATCGCTGCGGGCTACAGTGAGGTCGTCAAGCCATGCTTCCCAGACGTAAAAACTCAACATTGTGAATGTATGCACTACAGACTTGATTTAACGCGTTATCGTCACGGTCACGGTTCTCGTTGTACCATCGATGTCAGAACACATCGATAAAGCAGTTGTGCTCAGAGCGGTAGTCTATCGCGCTGACTTCAAGGCGATGAAGTCTTGACGAATTGAATGAGCGGATTTGATCCCGTATGGCGGTCCTTTCAGACTGCACTCCCCCGATTGGATATGATGACAACCACGTCTTGCTGATAGGAGCGAGAAGTAGAACTTCGCGGAATATATCATCTGCAGGATGTCAATTAAAATTCTGACACCACAGTCGTCAAAATGTTTGCGGTTGCCTCGACTGCGGTGACTCCGTATCGAGACACCGCCAGCATCACGATGATTAACGTTGCCGTGCCGTTCAATTACGTCGATCTCGTGATATCTCGATCGACTCGATCCAGGATACGAGCCATCTAGCATCTCGGACGACCCGAACATCTATACGTAAAATGTATCACAACGATATGCACCATGACGAGCCTCTTAGGTCGTCGCCTCTTAGTAATCATTCGGTCACACGAGTGATTGATGCTACACGGTGTTGGTGATGAAACGGATGAGAGCGTTGCGTGTCATTCATACCAAAAAAGTGGAGCGATGACAATTTTATCTTGGTACCATTACGCTAATAAACACCTTACTGAGTTAAGAAAATATCGGACAATCTGGTCAATGAAGGTACTTTCGTCATTGATCCATCTTTGGTGTCAATGATGTGTAAGCGACGAGCTCGCCCGGTCACAGTACTAGTAATTTGAAGTTCAATTGCCAAAATCACAAAGTCTGCGTCCTTTGTCGATGCTGTGGTGTAAATGATTAGGTCGCTAGCGGTGTCCGAAGTCCTTGTAGAATTCATATGAACCGCAAGGACAGGGTCTATTTGAAATGACGTGAACAGCCGATCTCTTCGATTTTGCTGTATGTAAGCTAAACAGACACAACTCATTCGGCACAAATCTAAATGATTTGTTACACCCAACGTACGTGTGTACTATTGTAAACGCTGGGACGGACTCGCGCACTACATCACAAAGCTCATGCTGCATTCAAATAATTACGACGCTACATACATTCGACAATCAAGGCACGCATTTTGCGAGTAGCCATCCTTGCGCAGGATACATGCTCAAAAAAAGCGACACGAAAAATTCGTCCTGGTCTGCGAGACTTCGACGTGGATCTCGAGAGAAATTCAACAACGCATCAGTACGTCCACCGAATCGAAGGGCGTCCTTACCCTGTAGCATTGTTTCCAGAAAACGCAAGTGCTTTTCGGTAGTGCGAGTCATCTTGAAGGGGATGCGACCATCTACTCGTAACGGCGCACCGTTGCGTGTCTGCAGACGCAAGAACACACCTGCCGCCAAACAGGAGACATGGAACTCGAAGCCGTACTGCAAGGAGCCACCGAGCCCGATCGCTTTCATCAACCCGTTGTTGCGACGCGCATGACCCAGCTCCAGCAATAGATCGCACAGTTGCCGAAGCACCTGCTTCTTCAGCGCTGAAGGTAGCACCTCAGCCAGTGGTTTGCACACAAAGTTCGTCACCTCTGCAGCCAGAAACAGCAACTTCATTTGTGCCAACGCGCTATTGCCAACTCGAACACACTCCATCCATCCCATCAATTTCGTCAACAGCGCCAGACTCAACGACTCGGTCAACACCGGGGCGCGACGCAGCTGCTGCAGGAAAAGAACCTGAAGGGTAAGCAGTTTTCCTTGCTCCAAACACGCCGCCTCGAACTCATTGACACTTAGTTCAGGTACATGCAGCCGCAACGCCAGCGCATCCCACATTCCTCGACGCTCCTCGATTACCCACCGCTCAATGCTTTTCTCTGTCACCTGACTCATTACGTGAACAGAAGCCAGGGCACGGCCGCAGGCACCCATGCAAGCTAGCTCCCCACCCCGGAAGGCTAAAAACGTCCACAGGACTTTTCCCAAGGGCACCCCAATCGCTTCCGCCGGTATCTCTGTCGCAGAGATATGCGTATTGTTTGCAAACTCGCCTTCATGCGAACTGCGATCCGTAGGATGGCGCCCACAGTAGTTTCGCTGCTCCAATGCTTTTTGTCGGGACGAAAATTCACGTACAAGAGTGTCGATTTCAACAAACACCACATTGCCACACTTGTTCCAATTGAGCCCTGATGATGTAGAGCTACCTCCACCACTGCCCGACTTTCCCTCGTCTTGCACCTGCTTGAAGAATACCTCCACGAGCGGAAGATTACAAAATCGAAGCACACCTGATATCGTGGCCGTCAAATCTTCTTCGGAAATACCGTCCGTGCTCTTGTCAGCATCATTCTCTTTTCTGGCGCTCACTTTGTAAAAGTTTACAATCTCATCCAGTTTCTCGTACAGAGCTGCGCAGCCCGAGCCGTACAGTACCATTAACCACGCGGCATCCTCAAACGTTTGAGCTTTGCTGCTCAAAGAGCCACGGTTATTCAATTCAAATACACCAAGCACCATATCCAGGAAAAGGTTGACCCGCTGCAGGCTTTCTCGAGTGGTAAGTTTGTCATGGTGCAGTGCAGTGATCCGGCTCAGAAGCCGCAGGGCAAGTTGCAGTCTTGCGAACGCGTCCTGCATGAAGGCTGCGCTTGGTACTGTCGAACGAGGCTCGCCTTCCACCAAACTTTTTGAAACCGCTGGACTTCCAAGCGGTTCCTTGAACGCATCCAGCATGAACTGCTGCAGCAGTTTCACATCCGCTATCGTCAATTTCCAATTCGTCCACAAGACTGATTGCTGCTTGATGAAGTTGACAAAGTAAGGTGGAAGGACATTTGTGGACAGCGCGTGACCAGACTGAAAGCGAAAGTGCGGAAGGTCCAGTACCAGCTCGAGACACAGCTTCGCGAATTCCAGCAGGAAAGACGACCGGACAACCTCGCTTTGTGCTTCCAGCCAAGAGTTTGTTGACCTCCATGTTGTGCGGCATAACACGTCGCGCACTAACCATGACACAAATGGATATGGTGACAGCGTAGAGAGCAGAGGCGGAACCGCTTGTGCCATGGGTATCGTCACCACCCCCGTGAGTAGCTGCTTTTCCATCTGAATGAGTTCACGCATCTGCTGCACGCTTTCCAACGTCAAACACCAGTGTTCCCATGCCAGTCGCGTCAAGAACTGATGGAAGTGCTTGCAGATGTGGGCAGGCGCGTGCGGAACAAGGGCTGTAAGGTAGAACGACCAAATTTGTGACAGCTTCGCTGTTTGTGTCTGCGATAAATCGCTGACATCACGTGTCAAACCGCCTGCTGGCTGGGTCTTCAGGTACTCCGAGCATACAGCCACAAAGCAGGAGCAAACGGTAGTACCCGTAGAAAGGGTATCTCGCTCGGACCATGGCGCGCTTACCCCCGAACCTTCTTTGTTGGTAGCTGGCTGATATAGTGTTGAGAGCAACGGCTCGAAAAACGCCGTAATGAGTTCCCACTGTTGCTCTTCCGGAGCAGCACGACAGCATAGCGCAAACAAGTCCAGCAACCCTTTCAAAACTCCGAGGCGCTGCCAATACACAACGGGATACTCTACCGAAGATATGGATGCCACATTTGGCAACTCTTTTCCGCGTACAATTTCCCCGCCAGCTTCGCTGCTGGAGACATTGCCAGCGGACAGCCTGCCTTGCCACCGCAGCGAGGTCATATGCTGGCTCAGGAACGTCACACAAGCCTTGATCTGCATCACCGGAAGCTCCTTCCAACGAGCCAGTGGAACACCAAGCAATGCACTCCACACTGAAGGATCCATTGGGCGCGGTACTGTCGCCATCATAGAGTTATTCGTGCAGTCGTCGCTACCAGCAGGTGAGGTATTGTCCGCGTACGATGTTCGAAATCGGTAGTCGTCGTAAACCCCAACAAGAGCATGCACTATTTTTTCAGCGTGATCTTCTAGGTGGGCAGCACATAAGAGTTGAAGTACCTCCGCGTAAAAACGTAACACTTCATCCGAACGGTCACATGCACCGGCGTCTTTGGATTTCCGGGCAGTTGCATCGAGCTTGCGATCTGCAGGAAACTGGTGACTACTATCGCCCAGGATCATGCACAATACTGTGTCGCGATCGAATTTATTGGGCGTCTCCGGGCTTTTAGTTGCCAACCATGCGCGGAAATCAAAGCGGTGCAGGACCATGAGCTTCTCTTCGCTCGAAAGTTTGGACGAACTGCTTGTACTCATCAACTTTGCAAACATTTCAGCAAAACGCAATGGCACCGCCGCCGGAAAGAAACACTCGCTGAGAAGAGTGATGCGGGACGGATCTTCTAACATGAGTTGAAGCAGAGTGCATGTTTCGCGCTCGTCGACACAAACGAAGTCTAATCCTAGCTGCTTGATCGATCTCCATAGCGCTTCGCGTAATGATGGCACCATCCGAGCTAACTTTGTATCTAGCTCGGTAAAAAGACGAAACCACTCAAGGCCCTTTTCATGTAGACGCTCAATATCTCGCTCTGCCTCTTGAAGACGTGAAAGAAAGTTACCATCAGCAGTACTGCCCGCCACGACAACGCCCTCTTCCCCAACATTCCTCGAGGCATCATCGGATGTTGTCGTACTCAACGGTGCTTCATTCGTCAACGTTTGTTTCAACTCTTGGAGCTTATCGCGCTCCATACCCAGCGTACGCGCGACTTGATCAATGAGCAAGATCTGAAGAGATAGCGTAAAGCCACTTTCATCAAGCTGTAGAAAACGTTCAGCTGATACTAATGTTTGCAAAGATTCGGCTGCGCTATCATCATCGCAAAATTGGCCATCATGTTCGTCCGTCAATGACACTTCGTTTGTTGTCAGCATAGAGCTCATATCACACCGCTCACTCTGAGCACGGATCACTTTTATAGCGTCGTCTGCTCGAGGGTTGATCATCCATTCCAAAAATTCAAACCGAAATGCTGCAGGACTACTACAATTCGAGCCTTCCGGGCATGGTAGACTCTGCGTCACAGCCCTTGTTTTACTGGCGTAAAGCTGGGCTACGGTGTCCACCATTTCGGCGTCAAGCGTCACAAAAACGGACAGGTTCTCCGAGTATTTCATGGCCACCGCTTTTAGCCCTGCTTTATCTAGTGGAATAGAATGTGTGACTACACACCGGTCCGGTGACATCGCAACCGAAACTGTTGGCAATAAGTCTAGGCTTGAGGGCCCTGGTAGTATAGGCAGAGGTCGGGTATCGAGACCACTCAGTCCAGCAAGCCCTTCGAAAGTACTGTGTCGTCGGGCTAGCTCCGATGTTTCTTCCACGAACGCGAAGTCGTCTTCTTCGCCAAGTGCTGCGGGTGGTGGGGAAATGGATTGGCTTGAACAACTGCCACTGCTACCGGATCCATCGTCAACGGTCACTTCACAAGTACTTCGTCTAGCAGTGAATTCGAAGCCACACCAATTGATCCACAAAGATAACTCGGACCATTTCATTTTACCCTCTCCTGAGTTAAGCAACGCGTCACTGAGGCGCAAAACGTCTCTGAGTCGATCGACCTCGTAGTGACGCGGCAAAGCCGACAATTCGTCTTCTTTTAGCCACTGATTCGGGTCCGTTTCTTCCATCCAGGCGCCCATAGCACCGTAAAGCTGAGAAAGCGCTACTAAGTGAGCATACCGCCGCTCTTTCGTGTCCGTAGCAGAATCTGCACCGTTTGATGTACGACCACTTGACCCACCTGTTGCAGTTAACACAACCTGTGCTTGGCTGGAGCAGAAGTTCACAAGTGCTCGCAATTTAAGCTGAAGACGCTTTCGCAAGTGCATACCCTTCGTGTCGCATTTACTTGTGTGGTCGAGGAAATGGTGCCCGAAGATGCGAGACCCACCAGCAGCTGCAAAGTACAGTGCAAAAAACACCTGCCAGTATATGACCTGCGCCGGCTCTGATTCAGGCAGATCCAAACAGTAGTTGCACCAGCGGTATATCTTGTACTGCGATAGAGAATCGAGGCTGGTATGGCCAAATGCCAACGGACTGCCCAAACGAGATGCACACCTAGATGCTACGTGGGTCATTTCATCCGCCTCTTCATCAACGCCGTCTTCATTTCTTATGGCATCAAGAGCTGCAGCTAGCCTTCCGTCGGTTTTCTTCATTTTCTCCAGCTTCTTCATGGTTTTGGGCTCGAATTTCATCATGAGCTGCCCCATTGTCAGAAACAACGGAACCTCCTTTCGGGTCTCAACAAGTAAACTCCACAACGCCAGATATGGACACCCACTCACGTATTGCGCCACATCAAACGAACTTCCAAAAAGTGAAGCAAACGTTACAGAGGGAGTGACTGAAGGAAGGAAACTCATCACAACAACCGGATCATTGTCAGGACAACGCTGCTCAGGCTGCCCTGCCTTTTTCTCATTCCGTGCTACAAGCTGGCAGAAGGAGTCAAAAGCAGCCTCAAGCAAATCGACCAGTGCATACGTCACCTCAAGTGATGCACCAATGACTGCACTTTTCGTCTCTGCACCCTCCGCAGCACAGCAACCTTCCATACTGCAGTGTAACATGACATCTAAGACGTGTCGAAACGCGGCATTTTCATACCAAAACGGAACGTGCAACAAAGCCTTCATCCAGAAGCACATCGAGTCTGCAAGCAGCATGCTGTTTGTAGAATATTCGAAGGATCGTCTAATCATCGCGCACAACAATTTCGTCGATTTCGGGATATCGTTTCTTGCGGACATTGGAAGCATTGGTGTCTTGGCACTCAGAAATGAGTTTCGGATGGATAAAGCGGCACTAGTCGACGATGCCGCCAGCGTTGACAGCGCTCCTGTGCTATGTTCAGTTCCTAATGCTGAGGCAATCCACGACATTGCCCCGTGAAATAAAGCCGAAGTTGTGACCGACATGGTGCTTGAGTGAGGAAAACACTCGTTGATGAGCGCAGGGAGCACAACGGGGTGCAGAAAACGACTACACTTGCGCACAAATCGCAGCTTTGTCAAAATCCGATCTTTGGCTGTTCTTTCCCACCCACCTATGTAACCCTTGTTCAGAACTTCTTGCATGCGATGGAGTTCGTCAGTATTGATGTACGAGAACTCGTGCAGTAAGTTTAACAGGTCCAACAGTTCATCAGTGGACAGAGCTTGCATCGCGGCCATACAAGCTTCCAGCTCATTCTCACCCTCCCCTACCGCATCACCACTTCGCTCGCCGTCGACGTGTAATCCTTCGTTTTCCTTATGTCGGACTGACGTCTCTAATTCTTCCTTGCTTTCTGTTTGTGGCGCTACGTCTAGCACCGATTCTGATCCGCACGCCTTATTCTCGTTCATCCGTGCTAACAGAGGAAACACATTTTCGAGCACTTTCACGGCTGCCGAGAAGAAACTGCTTCTCAGTAGTACTAGCAACGGCTCCCAACGATCAAGGCGATCACTAAACACAAACGTCGTGACTTGACAAACGACGTAGGCCACTATGGGCTCCGTTCGTGGAGCTGCGGTGGCAGAAACTGATGAGGCGGTAGCAGCTTCGCGCGCTCCTTTTTGACTTTGAGGTGTTAGAAGCATTCGACATTTTTGCTGAATGGGAGCGCCAGTGCTTCCACCAACCGCGGCCTCTATTTTGCTGCTTCCATCGTTCTTGGCCTGTCCATGACGTTTCAGGAATTGCTCCTCTAGCGAGGTATAAAATGGAAACACTTTACGGGAAGAAGGCAAAGTCAGCAATACGGAAGCTCCGGAAAACCACCTGCGCAACGTCAACGCCTCGCGCGACCGATCGTGGCGAAGGTCGATGAGCGGCAACAGTGGCTCTTTTGTTTCCAAAGAATGAAATTTCAGCTTTAGTATGAGTTTCCAGCACCACTTCTCAAAATCCACCCTTTCGCCTAGCCATAAAGCGCGACGAATTGATTCGGCAATCGAAGTGACATCCAGCTTCTGCGGAGACCCCCCTCCAGATAGTGCGATAGCTGCTTCGGGATCACTGGCACGTTCGTTTCGCGTCTTGTAAACAACCAATGCTTCGGAAACCATGAGAGCAACATGTCGATGGATCCTAGCGTGCGTAAACAACCGTTGCAGCTTGACGTCGTACTCCCAATTGATATGGTCAAGAAGGAAACGAGCCAGCACACTGCGTGGGGCCGTTGTATCTTCAAGCTGTAGCCAGTCTTGTATATTCAGCAAATCTTCAGACGTTGGCACCCAACGATTGATCGGAAATGTCTCGAACACGTTGATCCACGTGGCTGCACATTGATGATACTTGGAAATCAGCACAACGAGAAGCGAAAGCACCCACGTATGCGACAAACAAATCGTGCTCAACGGCGCCGCTGCCCGCTCACCATTCTCGCCTAGTTCACGCCGACACGATTCAACAGTGTATCCTGCAATAAATAACTCGTGTACTGCGACATAGACCAAGTCATGTCGCTCGTCAAATCGATTGTCGCTGGCACGAGAAGGGGGTCGGCATGATGCAACAAGACTTGCGACCGCGTTTAGGACATATGTTGCGCTCTTCGCATCCAGAGCAATAAGGTCGTACAGGTGTTGACGTGTCGGTGCTCGAATATCGACGTCCTGAGCATTCGATCTGCCAATAAACTGCATCCATCCTTGAGCCGTCTTCGCCTCTGTCGGTATATTTTGGAGATTAAACAGCAACAGAGCCAATGCATCCCACTTCGCCAGTGCTGACAACGATTGATAAGGAAACAAGTACAGACCCTTCCACGCCACACGATTGCAGTCGGCTGCCATCAGACCATGCAAACTGGTAAGAAACAGCTGGTCGAAGAGTGTCGGATAGAAAACAGCGTCTTTCATGCCGGAGTTTTCTGTACAGCCTGACCCAGGAAGACCTGCTGCATCAAGAAGCAGTTGTCCAAGAAGCTGCGCAATTCGCGTTGGCAACTTCTCAAACTCTTGGAATACTCGCAGACTATGAGTAAATTCCAGCACCAGCGTCAAAGCTCGACGAAAGCACTTTTTCACGTCCGTAGTGCATCCAAATAACTGCTCAAAAGCAAACACGTTTGGAAATTGGTTCAGAACAGCGACGAAATCCTCGTCCGACAGGAAATACCGATCCAGCATTTCCGGATTTTCCAACAAGACCCATTCAGGAGAAACAAGTCCTTTTCTATCCGGTGCACCCACGTTGGCAGTCTTCGCAAGTTTCGTACCACTGGAAGGTCCGCTGGACACAAGGACCGACATCCTCCGTAATTTCTCAGGATGAAAGACCAGATGCAACATCGCAATATAGTGGTCGACAAGATCTTCGCTCCACGCGCTTATTACCGATCCGTCTGTGCGCACCATGGCCCGTGGAAACTGCAAGAATCGTAAGAACCACGACCGTTCTTCTGTTGAAACACGAGGCAAATACATCGCATGCATTAAGAGATACGGCATGTTTTGTAGAGATTTTGTGCGCGTGAGAGTTCGCACACAAACTGAAATCCACTTCTGCAGTGACCGGCGAAATCGCAATACGCTTTGAAACCACTCGTTCGTTCTTGTTGATACAGACGATGGTGGGAGGTACAACACCACATCGCACGAATCACACAATTTGCACCATTGACTCGATTTCATCGGTATGTTCAAGCTGCCACAAGCGTAGCACTTAATTTTACGCTCTGCACCAGCACCACCCGCGGCGCTGTAACGTGTCTTCGCATCACTGCTATGCCAGATAAGCTCTCCCCGGTGAAATGACCGCGGCACGCGTCCAAACGCTCCTTTTTCCTCCAAAGTCACCTTTTTCTCGAAGAAAATCAGCACATCGATACAATACTTCAGGTGCTCTACCGACGAAGCGAGCGACGAAGTCTCGGGAAAAGTCTCGTAAAAGCTCGCACTCTCCGGGACAACGCCCAAATCATCGATGTTGCCAGAACTCCCGCAGAATGAGCTCATGTTACTCAGACACGTAACCAGACCCGGCTCTTGCAACACGCTATTCAAGTATTGCTCAACGCGGAAATAGGAAAGCGCGCGGTCAAAGGTGTGCATCGACGCCTTCGCCGTTCGTTGCTGACGAAGCTTTTCGAGATGGGCTCTCAGCTTCTCTAGCTGAACTGTCTCTAACTTTGCAGTTTGGTACTCCATTTGCTGCTCGATTTCCACGTTGTCACCACAGCGCTTTGACGAAGAAACCCGCTTTCTCTCCAATGTCCACACTAATGCATGTGCATACATTCATATGAGCTGCGATAAAGCCAAAACACTTCAAGCACGTTCAAGCGTACCTTTCTTGATGAGCACGTCAGTTTTCTCTTTGTCCTCGTTCATTATCGAAGCGGCGTCGTGCAATATATATTCCGAGTACAAATAGCGCTCAACTCGTGCGTACAACTCTCCTTTGTCATTCTCAATGTGTCGCATCTTCGATTCTTGACGCTTCTTGGATGCCTCGGCTCGCATGAGGGTCATTTCGTAATTGGTGAATGGGTCCAACTTCACACGAATATGCGATTTCTTGAGAAGCTGCTGGTAACTTGCTTCGACTCCACCTCCATCCTCTTCCGTTGCTAACGTCGTCATTTCGCTAAGTTGTTGCGGCATTGGCGGATATATGCTATGCATTCCAGCTTGTTCTGCAGCCTGGAATGATTTGGCCAAGGATTCTCGCACCCTTACGCTCGCACCTTCCACCGATACTGCTGCTGCTGCTCTTGATGTCATCTTTGCTGTCGCACTCGGCTTCTCCGAATTCTGCGGTGATGCCATAGTGCGATGAAGCTTCTTTGACACAGTAGGCGATAACGACGGTGCCGACGGAGTCGTGCTCGAGCGATCAGCCACGTCGTCATCGCTAAACTCCAGGGGGGCCGAAGGTACTACTGCTGCATCAACGTCATCAACTACTGTAATTTCATGGAAAGCACGTGGCATCGACGTCCGCGTTTGTGGCAACGACGATTGGATGCCCTGCTCGCCGAACGTTTGGTTTACATGTGCAGCCATTGCTGGAACGGCCGAAAGGTCGGGTTCATCTTCGTCAAAGGCTGGAGCGGAAGGCGCGGAAATGCTTTCGCCCTCGCTCCATGTCACACGTGAACAAGCACTTTCGTCGTCGACAGTCTCCATTCTCTTCGTTTTTTCTTCGACATTGACGTCCTGTTCCTGCTGACTCGTACCATTGTCGCGACTTTCTTCTGTACTCTGCTCGTGCACAAGGTGCAAGTCTGTTTCTTCCATGGCTGCAACAAGCTCCTGCTCGCTCTTCATCTCCCCATCCTGTGCAAATAACGACATCACGTCCTCCTCATTGCAGCGAATCTGCTCGTCTAACGCGGGTAGATCCTGCACAGCATCCAGCTCAGTTTTCGTCGTTTCCACTGCAGTTTTCTCTTCTATATCACTGCAATGCCGCGTCGCACTTGTTTCCTCGTCCTTACGCGCAGCTTCAACGACCTTCGAGCGTTGCGGACGCTTGCGCACTAACTCCATCTCGCGCCCACGTCAAAGCAACGTCGAGAAATTGGGGTTCAACCGCTTCAACGTCGAGTCAAAGCACTTTTCTCCTTCTTCTGCTTCTCCTTTTCAGGCTCTTGAAGCGCAAGCGGCACGGCGGACACGACAAAAACGACAGAAAAGAGTACCAGAAGATGATAGGACGTCACAGAAGATGGCGGTGGCAGCAGTAGCAGCAGTAGCAACGGGCCGCGGGTTCAATGACTTCCTCTGCGATGCGCTGTGCTTTTTGGTGGAAACTCTTAACTGTCAGTCGATTTCTTTCGGCTGCTAAGAAGTACTCTCACAGCGCATTCTGATTGGCCGGTTTTGGCGAGCGCGGCACTCATGCAGCCGCGTACCTCATTCGTCAAAAAAAGAACACAAATGAGATGTACATTTTGGACCAAAAGCAAAATTGATGCAGCGGAGAACGGAAAAGAATCGCTTGCCACGTTCGAGAGGAGAACTTTGGACCGGCGAGAAAAGGGGCGATAGCTACAAACAGAGGCAGTTGTCACGCGGACCCCACTCAGCGATCGACAGCTGGCCTCAACGCTGAAACGCCCGGTTCATGGCGAGTCTGTACTTGGTCGTTCATCGACTGTCGCATACGAAGAGCATGCAGGTAACTACATTACGGGCGGGATCAGACGAACGTTTCAATGTGGTCGATATCGACCACACCTCGTATCATCGACCACGCCCTGTATCATCGACCACGCCCTGTATCATCGACCACGCCCTGTATCAGTGACCACGCGTCGTCATCACTGCGGAAGAAGAGAATGGAAGAAAGAGAATGTGCTCTTGCTAACAACGCACAGGATTACACCGCTGGCGATATCACGTCGATTCGACATGTCCTCAGCGAGAGCGATGATGTCCATCCAAGAGAAAGCAACAAACGTATGTATGTCCATAGGTATGGTGCAATCAGAGCTACCCTGCATCTAACACTAATGCGTTGGTAGCATACCACCTGTTGTTACGAGACATGGTGCTCCGTCCGAGCATAATTTGATGAAGCGGATCATTGACAGAACAAAGCGCTAACAGTCACAAGATAGCACATGTTTCCTTAAGCAGAGCCACCAAGAGAATAACGATATGCACGGTGCACAGAGCTCTCCCGTCGATCGTACATTGTCTGTCCTTAAAGCACTTTGAGTGTGTTGTGGTCAACGATAGCAATCGTGGAGTCAGGGCTCAATATATACGCTGTAGCGTAAACGTCACACTCATGAAGTATAGGTAAGTCGCCAATTCCAAACCCACGGTGTAGCATTGGCACAAAGACATTGGCATGCGTGATGCTTTCTTTATCGTAGCATTTGTAATAACGTAAAAGTAAGGAGTCAATTGTCACGACCCTTTGCTCGGCAGCAGAGAAAGATCTCTAGCTGTCTCCTCCTCGCGCAACAATGTCACGCCTCGGTCGCATCTCGCTGTTGTTGCACAGACAAGATCAGCTCTCACTATTGTTTTCTACTCTTGTCTTCAGCACATCAATATCACTTACGAGTTGCTCCATCGAATACCAACCACGGCAACACTGCGATTACTTATGTAGCCCAGTCCACCCTATTCCATTACCGCAAAACCCGACCATCGTATAGAGGCATTGGACATCCAAACATGATCCAACCCGACTGTCATATAGAGGCATTGAATATTTAAACAAGATTCAGCTCTCTGGACTGGATGACGCATATCAAAGATCGATCTCCAGAGCTTGTCATTCTATCGTAAGTCCACGCGGAAGAAACTGTGTCACGAAGTCCTCGTATATGGCTATTCGTCGATGCTTTCCTCATATCTTAGCAAGACATGCTCTGATTGCAAGTCTCGTGAAGTTGTTATCGAAAAACCAGAGCGCCGTCGTTTTTGCCTACCCTTGTGAGTTTCTTCTGAGATGCGCTCAAAAAGCTACACATGGTGACTTCGTCGAACTGATTATGCATCGCATGAAGAACCGACGACCAGCGAGGACATTCGATCGTCATGTCACGAATGCCCGATTGTAAACAACTTTCGGGTATATTGCGTGAGGTAGCGCAGTTCGGTAGGAGGCTAGAGACTCTTTCGATAAAATGCTGCAAGATCAAGCCGGGATGGTGTCGAGGGCGAAGCGACGCTCGCAGGTGTTTGTCGTATGCACCTGGCCTTTTACTATGCAAGGACCATTAGCGGGGAAAAACTGACGATAGCAAATTCGAGCACGGACCCACAGAGCGTGCAAGAACTGAGCAATGCGGCGTCAAAGAAGTATTTGCTTTGGCGCCACATCAAACAGGTTTGTAAGTATAACTGCATTCTCATCGACAGTTGCTTTTCCATCAGCAGTTTTTTTCTGGCGACTAGATATCCGTCCGATGAAGTACGATGCACGAAGAGCCGTGACAAGATCGAAATACGTACGGTATTGCTGTCGTCAATGCCACAAGGGTCTCCAGAAGTGCGACAGCCGGTGCTTGGACCTCTTGCTACCAGACGATACTCTCAGTCACAATGGACATAGTGCTTGACGCATTCGTTGGTCGATACGGATTGTGGCCAGGCAAATACTGACTGCGATGAAGTTGGAAAGCAGCTTGGTTGAGAGTGTTACTTGGATCTCTGGCATGCGACAGCACGCATGGCGATAACGGCAAAATATGGCTCAATCGTGTTGCGCTGCTACGAATAGTGCCAACAGCAGTAACCTGAGTTTCAGTTCGAGCACAAAGAGACACTGGTATTGTGATTAGCTGTGGAAATCTCAGTCAACTGCTCTGGAACTCAACGTTCTATCGATAGTGGATGTACTACCGCAACACCAACAGTATCATTCTGCGTGACGTCTTTGCTGATTTACAACATACGTGTTGTACAAGGCGAGTCTCGTAACGTTTTGAACGTGGCAGCTACAGCTTGCAATGGTAACGACACAACCTCTGCTGAAACAACTTTGATTTAAGTCGGGCAGTCGGGCAGGGACGGACCACAGTGGGCGGACAAGAGAAGAAGCCGTTCGTTCCATTCAATATCCTCTCTCACAGCTGGTCAAAGTGGGTCAGTGGATTTCCCGCGCACGTTCCGATCACCTCTTTGGCAATAACCAGCACCTTATCGTGCACTTGGTCGATCGTCCCCGTGGCGTCCACAACGTGCCACTTGGGTGTCGTGCGTTCCATAATAGCGTAAAAGTTCTGCCGCACTTTTGCCTGAAAGTCCAAGCGCTCATAGCGCTCTTGACCGAATTCGGCTCTTGCTGCCGCCTGTGCGACTGGTACGTCGAGGAAAATCACAGCGTCTGGCTTAGGGAGTCCAATCTCTGGCGCCCAACACCAGTCGAGGGACATACCAGTTTTGGCAGCGGAAAAAGCTACGCCACTGAACGAGTAGCGGTCTAGAATAATGTGCTGACCACTGGCTAAGAGTGACTCAATTTTAGTCGCGGCTTCCCATCGATTTGCAGAGAAGAGCAAGTGAATGGCGTGATCGTCCATAGCAGTTGAGCTCGTGAGGTACGAGTGGATGCTCTTGCCAATGGCAGTGCTTCGATCTGGGAAGTGCAACAGCGTCGAAGGGAGAGACGGAGACGAAGCGATGAGGGCCTCGTGGAGAAGCTTCGTCTGCGTCGTCTTGCCACAGCGATCGACGCCCTCGAAGAGCAGGAACGTTCCCCGCGGAGGCATGCGGGTCGAACGTCGTTGAGTTGGATAGCGCTTCGTTTATCGACGTTTCTATCGCTGGGGGTGGGCCTTTAGAAACGCCCTGAGCGTTCGGACTCTTCCAGGAGGTCCGTCCAAAAGCGTTTGGTGTTTTGCTGTAATTGACGACGGTCGTCCTGCTGGTTGCAACTGCACTTGTGGCTACTTCTCACTTGCAATGCGGCCGTTTTGTGTCTGCAGAGCTCGCTCTCATTTGCCAAAGCCGACCTGACTCGAGACGTGCTTTGTCAAGGTTTTCGTTGGCTTGACATGCTCCTCACAGGTCGTACGCAAGAAACGATTGCTGGCATCATGTTTTTGTGTGAGCGCTCGTTGCTGGTACCCGTCGCAGCGGTCGAGGACAAGCGTACACGTAGATTTTATTCCCCACTTTCCTCCACGCTGTCGACTACTTTGTTTGTTTACGAGCTTGTCTCGCCCCGTTTGACCTTTGCTTCGCAATAAACATGGACCCAGCAGTCGTGCTTATATGAAAGCCGTCCTCATCGTCACTGCCGCAGCCATCTGGCGCTTACCCACTTTCGACGCAGCGAAGTCGTTTGGCTTGATTCAGACGAAAACGTGGTGACAGACGCTGGCTGCAGTTCTAGTGAAAGCGCTGATAGATTACTATCCGAGACAATGAGCCGCAAAAGTTCCGATGCGAATGCCAGCAAGTCAATGGACGGAAAGCTCTGTATTCGGAAGTTTAAAGAAAGTGACAGTTCTACTTTCGACACTAGCGACAGCTCTACTGTTGACACTGGCGACAGCTTTGACAATCGGCGTAGCTTTGTCGATGAAGTTTTGGAGGCGAAAGCTATCGGATCGATGCTAGCGATAGCTCTGACATCGAGCTCTTGCTGAGAAGTCCAGCGAAAGTAAAAGTGCCTCAGCAGAATCGAATGAAAGCATTGCTGATGAGCAAAGTATCGAAGAAGTCGTAGATGATGAAAGCGCGGGCACGACGACAGCAGTGACGGCATATGTTGAGAAGGTCGTAGATGATGAAAGCGGAGTTCGACGACAGCAGTGACCAATGCAATGATGATCGTTGCGACAATGGCAGTGACGGTGCAATGACGATCGAAGTGAGGACGTCAGTGATGACATTAGCGACGACCTCGTCAGTATCTTTTTGGACAAAGCCTTCGTCACTGACAAGGACGATAGTGGGAGTGCCGGTAAAGGTGCTTGTTCCAGTGCCGATCCCTACCATATCTTCATGGGTTGTAGAAACGAGAGGACATATGTGTCGCTGACATGGAAGGCAGAATGATCGAGGTAAGCTGTCGCGCGGAATACCGGTGATTTGTAACCGAGTTTGACGGAAGCAGGAGCATTGCAGACCGGGTGAGCGGTAGCGCAGAGCTGGCGGCGATTCGGGTGTAGATGGTTGCGGATGACCGATACGAGTTGTTATTGGCCCTGAAGCATGCAGGTTCGTTTATCGCTAACGTTCTAAACACCGTAGCGCCAAGAAGCATATGACGCATGCAGTGACGCGTCCATACCAATTGTGATCCAGCTGATCGTGTGCTTTGACGCCGAAGAGCTAAAGCTATGTCGATTCTGCTCCGCAAAGACAATCATGTTCGCACTCTTCTCTCGCGTATGCTTACTATGAGTCAAGCATTGTTCTTTATGGTCCTTTGGCAAGGTCCAGTCATGAAGGTTAGGCTCATGTCGCGCTGGAGAAGATGACATGATCATCGGTTCCCTTTCGCTAGCAGAACCGATAATTATTCAGCCAAACGAGTCTTGCGGCATCTGTGCCGAATCAATGATAAAAACGATGGTCAACAACATTTCGTGACACAACAGCGAGGCCGCGAACGGCTTGACACTCACAACGTCTGAAATAGGTTTGTACACCGCATCGGATGTGACCACTTTTTGTCAGTGAAGGGCATAACGCCATCGAGAGCATAGCAGCTAATCCAATTTGAACGAAGTGCTCGTCCTATTTTTTCCAGTCGATGGCAATGTCTCCACGTCGACGCACGCCCCGTCACGGCCATGGCTTCAAGAATCAGACTCGTTTCTGCAACGTCCCAGCGCAGCCACACCATCTGTTAACAGTACCGACAGGGTACAAGAACGCACAGTCCCGCACGTATACAACACCACCTCACACCGTATGGCTTTTCACAGGCACATCACGTCCCAGAGCACGACGCCCCACCCGCGTCGCCTCCCTCCCTCCCTACCTACACTTTTGACCGCGACCGGCACTTGGGAACCCTTCGCGTGCGTCGCACCCGTCCGCCGCACTTCCCCACTCACCTCCCCCCCCCCCCCCTCTCTCTCTCTCTCTCCCTCTCTCTCTCTCTCTCTCTCTCTCTCTCTCTCTCTCTCTCCACTAACACTCTGACCCACATGGTGACGCACGAGACCCCGTGGCCGTCGCCACAACGTCGTCGTCGCCGCCTCTGCGCCTCACTCCGCCGCGCTGTGTTCCCCCGCGTGATGGAGTTCAAAGTGATCAGTCGCGAGGGCGACCGGCACGAGCTCCTGCCCGTCGTGTACCTCATCGCCCGATCCGGTGCGTGGCGCCGGCGCGTGCCGTCCGTCGTCGAGTGCGCGCTCGTCGAAGAGTACATCGCACCGCTGGTGGCCGAGTTCCCAGCGACAACTTTTGCTGCTGCTGCGACATCTGCGACAACTGCTGCGACCGACGCAGCGCGTGTGCTGTCCATTGTACAGACCGAAGTGCAGCTACGTGCGGCGCTGGGCGCGCAGCAGCCGCTGGACGAAGTCACGACGGACGAGAGGGACTACAAGATGGGCGTCTTGGTGGACTTTGCGCGGACGCCCCACCGGCCCGGCACTGCAGCGCTGAACCGCGTCGTGTTCCAGATCGCCACTGCGCTGCGCTCGGTGACGCACAGCAGTGCGCTGGTCGTGCCCGTGGCGATGCACTACTGCTCGGCTGCGAGCAATCTGCTGGTGGACGTGCGACGGTACGTTGGGATTCGCTACGGGGCGCCGGTGCTGCTGGACGCGCGCGAGGTGGCCGTGTTCCGAGACGACCCGACAGAGTTCACGCAGCATTTCAGCGCGCGATTGCGCACGTCGCTGACGATGGCGCCGCCGTCGTCGGTCGCTCAGATTGAGATGCTGCGGCTGACACGGACACTGCACGTGCACTGCGCGAAGATGGTCCGAGACGACTGCTTCTCACGGCGACAGCGCGCCTCGATGAACGAGGAGATCATGCAGATCCACTTTCGCACGTCTACGCATCCGGCCATGTGCGAGCTGAAGCGCAGTATGATGGCGTACTGTGCGACGCTAAAGCACTGGAAGCTCCGTGACGAGGACATCAATTCTGCTAGTGCGCTGTTGGCCGTGGAAGATCTGCCAAAGCATCCGCTGCATTTTGTGTGGCTGCTTGCTGCCGCCGTGCGCTTTGTCCTCAACTTGCCAGGTCGTCTTTTCCTGGCAAGCGCGTGTGACCTCATCTACGGCTTTCCCCCACGCAAGTCCCACAACCGATCGCTGCCTGTAGCTGCAGCAGCGGTAAAGGCGTTCCTGGGCTGCTTTGCACTTGGTGTGCTCGTCTGTGCAGTGCCGACGAGCGTATCGGGGTGGCTGGTTGTGCTGGCGTTTGCGGCAGTGCTGGTCGTGGATGCAGCAACTGCGCACAATGTGCCAGCAGATGTGGAGCACCTGATGCAACACTGGAAGAAGCCGCAGTTCTATGTCATGGGTGCCGATGAGCTCACGCGACTGAAGGAGACTCGTGCCGTGCTCGCTCGCAGTATTCACGACATTGTCGCACGGTACATGTGCACGGACCTCCCGCCCCCGGTGCTGCAGGACGTGTCAAAGGCTACTGCGTCGCCAACGGCGTCTCTACTGGATACCGACGAATACACGCTCAACCCGCACCACAAGATATTTATTAACGCACCGCGCTCGTTTCCGCTCGCATACGCTGCAATGATGAAGGATCCCAAAAAGGCTCGTCGGACGATCTACGCGCCAAAGATGCTGCGTGACGAGACGTGGCGCAGCATTTACGAGACCGTTGCGCCCGCAGGTCTACGATTCGCTGCGCTGCTTGCGGACAACAAGGGCGACAACCTCCCGATGGACGAACTGCTCGCGACGCCATTCTTCAGCGCAGTGCTGTCCGCTTACATCCTGTACAAGACACGATGTGTAGACGACGACAGCTCTACATCGAGCTCCAGTGGTGACGATGCTACTCCTGTCATGGCCGACGAGATGAAGCAGGAGCAGGCTCGAGCCTACCGCGAGTACGAGCAGAATGTAAGCCAGCAAGATCTCGGGGGCTACGGTTCCATGCAGGAAATCATCGATGCAGCATTTCAGATGGCACAAGACGAAGAGGAACTGACCGAGTAAGGGAGACGTGTGTCACCGTGAATGTAACATTACTACTATGTGTAACACTGCTACCAACGACGACGATTTTGTATCCCCGTGTGGCGTCTTCCTGGCCAAACGACCGGACTCGTCGTGTGATCCGTTCGACCTATTCAGACCAAACAGCTCCATCGTAGCTCACAACTCAGTACTGTTGACGATCACAAACTCCGAAGATAGACAAAGCCAGAAATGTCACGGTCGTCAAAAGTCTGGTATATCGTATTCTGTAACAAGCATCATAGCAACAACGCAACAACGCAACATCGCAGATCATAGATGTCCGACGACAACCACTACTACCGTTCTTCGCGATATGCACTTGCACACTAGCTCTCCTGGCGCTGCACAGCACGGTCGATCATCACCGTCTGGGAGTACGGGTTGTAGCGAGCTTGGAATGGCTTCTTCAGATCTTCGCAAAACGTGCGCATCTTTTCCTTTGCATCGAACTAGAAAGGAACCAAAAGGTCATAAGCTATGTCGTGATCCGAAAAACAATCCAGTACGTCTCCCTTACCAAGCTGTCAGCCACGTAGTACACAGGCTGGTAGGTTGTGACGGGGTATTTCTGCTTGCACGCCGAGAATGGATCCCACGGGCGGTGCTCTGGCCCGACGCTATCTGCAGAAAGATCCCGTGCGCAAGCGTACTCCAACTCTCCGAAGCTCGAAAGCAGTCCAGCGCCATAGGCCTGTGCGAAGCAACAGCGTCTCATGGTAAGGTCAGGCAGCTCGCACAACGGGAACAGAGACCTAATGAAGCCGTCAACCTTGTATTCGCCATGCTGCTTCGTGAGTCCAAACTCCACGGAAAACCAGTAGCACTGGTCGCATACACACATCGTTACAACAGACTGGTACCTGCGAACAAGGTGTGCTAGCAGATGCATGTGACGTACAGTGGCAAGACGCTCAATCTCTTCGTCTGAGGCTCCGAGAGAGGCGAGACCAATTTCGTGCGAAAAGTCCGCAAAGTCCGGGTCCTTTTGTCGAGCGAATGCGTTAGGTGGAGCTGACTGCCACAAGCATCAACTTTTGCGGTGCTTGTGAGGTAATGACTACGTACCGCAAACATAGGTGCGTGGCCCATGAGCTCATGGCAGATGTCGGGCTCTGGTGTGTACAAAGGCATCGAGTGGTGGCGAATGTACTGCACGAAACACAAGTCAAAAACGCTGTGAGAACCCTTCAACTGCCCATTGTACCATAGCTAGGAGCACTGCGAAAGCAAATGGTCGGCCGCTCTTACTTGGGTCGAGAAGAACACCCGGAACGCAAGTCCGTTCAAAAAGTCGCGCGACGACAAAAGTCCGCCTACTGGACGAAGGGTGAAACCTGTGCACTCTTTTAGAAAGTTCGAGATATCCCGCTGCTGCGGAATGTTGTCCTCAGCGTAGCCACAGTTGCTCTCGAGCAGAGGCGTGATGTAGTTGAACTCGTCACACGCATGTTGCTTCCACATCGCTTTCATCTTCTTGTAAATGACTCCCCATGTTTTCACCTGTGATGAACACACGACCACCACATCTCATTCACGTTCGCACGTTGCAATTAAACTCCGTATGACAACGTCGCACCTCGTCCTCCGTGTAGTCCAGGTACGGGATCGTATCTCCCTGCCGGTAGTTCTGAGCGATCTCCGCAAACACGTTTCGACGTCGACGGTACTCTTGGTCCTACACCACCACAGAACCCAACATCAGGTCAGTGTCATGCTACAAATCATAACGCCTCGATCACGTTGCATGCAGCGTAACGTGGCGTGACTGCGTACACTAAAGCCCGGGTGATCCGACTCTAGATCCGTGCCAGCGTCCAAGACGTTGGCCACTGAGCGGTCAAGTTCCGAGATCTTGCGAGGGAACCACGGAACTGCCCACACGCATAGTACCATAAGCTGTCGGCGCTGCAACACAGAGAGAACAAGACGGGTCACGCGCGTAGCCGCTCACGCACCTTTCTTGTCGTGGAGCACGACCACATCGAGGCAGTTCCGCGCCAAGTCCTGCATGAGCTCGTCCACCTCTGGCTGGCCGCGTTTGCCCTCAAAGTCAATGTAGAAACTGTAGTTCATGTTATGGCCTTTGGCCGGTCGCGACTCGATCCGCGTCATGTTCACGTCGTGTTTCCAGAAAAACTTGAGCGTCTCCTGCAGCGCGCCCGGTCCGTCTTCGACCTGGAGCATAATCGACGTCTTGTTGTCCCCTCGCAGCGTCCCGTACGTCTGCGCGCCGAGCGGTCGCCACGACGCACGAGCGCTTAAAGCCCAACGGCGAAGCTGTGTGAGGTACGCGACAGTGTATTGTGTCAGTCGTGGGGTCCGCCGAGAGACTTGACAGCAGTTGTACACCACCTGAAAGGTCGAGAGACGCACCTGTGGCCCGAGAGAGGAGCGGGAGAAGGGCGCGAGGGCGCGCAGCATTGTGGACCGAAGGAGCGCGTCAAGTGGGAGACAGCGGGCGACTTGTAAAGTGGCAAAGTGGACCGATAGCTCCGAGTTGTTGTTATTGTGGTTGTGGTTGTGGCGGTTTGGCTGGCGCCTGACTCTAAAATTAGAACGGTCAGTTTGTCCCACATCTGGCGATCTTCAAGGGGCGGACTTTTTCTGCAAGTGTGTTTGGAAGGTGGGGACCGCTTGGCAGGTGGCTTTACATTCGGGTGCACCGAACCAGAGGGTGCGTCGAGCCCGTGACGTCATGGCAGTGGCGGGTCTATTTGTTTTGACCGATGGCTATTTTTCTAGCACTGCTTGTGATGGCGCGGTGGTCTAATTTAGCAAATACATAAAGCAATACACAATGTGTTTTTTGTAGCAGCGCGGAGTTGACTGCGAGTGTTTGGTGTCGAGTCTCGCACAACGATTGCGTCATCCTCGAGATTATAGGTCGCAACCTACAAACGCACCGATTCCGATCTGCCTTCCTGTGCTGAGCTCGCAGAGTAGTGGTGCTACACAAAACACTTTTTATCTCCTGCGAAAAGGAAAATCTTTCCTCGTGTTTTTACTGGCAATCGCATCAAAGAACGAAACAGCGGCCAACGGACGGACGACGATGAAGCTCACGGTCAAGACCTTACAGGGCGTGGCCTTCTCCCTGGACGCAGAGCTCACGGACGCGGTAAGCTGCTACTTCTCTCCCCTTCCATAGGCCTACGCGACGTTCGCCGCCTTCGCTCGTGTGTTGCGACGGTCTCTGAAACAGAGAGCTGAAGGAATTCTGACGTGGAGAGACAGAGGACAACGGTATGAGGAAAGACACACGTGGAGAGTTCTAACACACAACGTGCAATGCGCTACAGGTGTCGGCGATCAAGCAGAAGATCGAAGAGCTGCAGCAGTTTCCCGTGTCGCAGCAGAAGCTCATCCACGCTGGAAAAGTCCTTAAAGACGACAGTACACTGGGCGAGTACAATGTCAAGGAGAATGACTTTCTAGTCGTCATGGTCACGAAACCCAAGGCGGCCAAGCCTTCAGCTGCTGCTGCTGCTGCTTCTACTGCTGCTGCGGCTGCTCCTTCTGCATCGACTGCTACAACCCCATCTGCTGCCACTTCTGGTGCGGCGCCTACTCCCAACACGTCGTCAGCATCCAACAGCTCTTCGGTAACGGCTTCTGCAGTGTCGACACCATCAGCTGCTCCAGCTACGACTGCTCCGAGCTCCTCGATGGGAGAGGGCGGCGATCTGGCGAGTGGTGAGCAGATGAGCGCTACGGTGCAACAACTCGTGGACATGGGCTTTCCGGCAGACCAAGTGCGCAGTGCACTTCGTGCGGCTTTCAACAACCCGGAACGCGCAGTGGAATACCTGATGACTGGCATCCCCGAACAAGCTGCCTCTGCCGTGCAGGCGGCTGGGCCTTCGGCTGGAGCCAATGCAGGCGCTGGTGCCAGTGGTGATGAGACTGCAAACACGCTCGAAGCGCTTCGCAACCACCCGCAGTTCGACGCGCTGCGTCAATTAGTGCAGTCCAACCCGGCAGCACTGCCGGCGGTACTTCAGCAGATCGGTGCACAGAGTCCAGAGCTGCTGCGGCTGATCCACCAAAACCAGGACCGCTTTGTGCAGATGCTGAACGAGCCCATTGGTACCCGCGAGACAGGATCAGCCCCTGGTGGTGCAGGTGTTGCACCGTTCGATTTGGGAATGGGTGGTGGTGCTATGCCATCCCCGCAGCAGATTCAGCAGCTAGTGGACTCGCTCACACCAGAGCAGCAAGCTCAGATGGCAACACAAATGGGCATGACCCCCGAGCAGCTTCGTGGATTGTCTCAAATGCTTAGCAACTTGCCGCCTGGAGCAATGGAGCAGATGATGGCATCAATGGGAGGTGGCAGCGGCTTGGAAAACCTTGGTGGAGGTGTAGGACCTGGCGCCGGTGGAGGTGGTCGCCGCATCATGCTATCTGAAGAGGAAGCCGCAGCCGTCGACCGGCTGTGTGAGATGGGGTTCGAGCGCACGGACGTGATTCAGGCATATTTGGCATGTGACAAGAATGAGGCGCTGGCAGCCAACTTCCTCATGGATAGCGGAGACAGCTTCGGCGGTGACGCTGCTGGAGGTGCGGGAGGCCAGGGCGACGACAATGATGACATTTATGGGTAGATACACGGATCGAGTGAGCAAGCATGCGCCCTCGCCGTGGTTGGCAAAGACGCGCGACACTCGTCTCGGTTTGTACTTGAGTGCTTCGTAGTTGGGACGTCGTGCACGTGATGTGGTCAGGAGTGCCAGCTTACTCTCGCGGACACAAATGCTTTGGGTTGATGAAGTCTTGGCTTTTTGAGTACCTCTTGTGGAACGTCGATTCTGCTATCCCATCTTAGCCCGATGCGTTTGTCCTTAAAGTTTTGCAATGCCACCGCTTGGACCGTAAAATCAGCGGAGTAAAGCATGCGTCTCGACATCGCCTCCAGCCGGTCAGAACGCCAGCTGTTCTTGGTTTGGCAGGCCTAAACTCGTCGAAACTGCATTGTCAAAGACACGTTCTGGTCTTTGCGTACGGTCAGGCCAGTTGCATTCAACTCGTGTGAAGCGCATAGTTGCTTCGAAAGCTTATGTACCATGGCAGGTCCTCACACTGGTTGACGTCTAGCACCAAAGAGGTGGACTACTGTTCGTGGCAGCCATCGGTATCGTGTCAAGCGCCGACAACGAGCGTAATGGGCAGCGGTGGTATGGAAATTGCGCTTCGACGCCTTTCCAACTTGCCACAGCTTCCAAGTGCACATTGGTATGCCAAGTTACGCTGAGACGAATGTACGCAAAAGCATTGTGTTCACTTGCTGAACGTGGCCACAGATGACAAAGACAGAGACGTTCACCGTGTGTAGGCGCGTGTCGATCTCTTTCGATTGCGCAGATCATACGACGGACGGATGCAGCTGCAAAATCGAACGACAACAACAGTGTGATGCAGGCCAACATCTCAGATGCAACGGGGTGAGCGCGTTGCATGACATTGACATCGACGAAGATGAATGCGAATATCATTTTAGCGGATGACATTCTTATATGTCGCTATAGATTGTCAAGGTTATTATCTCTGCTGATTGGTTGATATGATGACCCGTATCAACCAACAAGTCGTCCAATGAATGAGGAACGCGCGCAATGGGACGCGAGCAATCCATTACAGTTCATATTGTATTGTCAGATCTAGCGAACGAAGGTGGAACAAATTTCTTGTAAGCTTAACTATATCCTACGCAGCTTCTTCTTACATAAAGGTTAGAGTGTAATGGGGCACCGGTGCTTGTACCCACACAGTACACACTACCTAGACTGTAACGGGGCAGCCCGTTACATGGAATTGTCACTTTAAGGAAAGTGACAATAAAGAATATAAAGATGGATATTCTTTAAACAATATCACCAAAGTGGTGATATTGAAGGGTCGACCAAAGAGTCTGTTCATTGGTTGATATCGTGATGATATCAAACCACCAATCGCCGCAAGACGCGCGCAATGAGTGGTGACGAGACGTCACCATACATCCAGTTATATTAGTATAGTTAAGCTAAGTCAAACAGAGAGACAGTGGTTAAAGACTTAATTACATTAATATAACAGTTCTACTTTTACCCTACCTACGCTTCCTCGCTTGCCACGTGTACGTCTGTCGGGGCACCCAAAACCCTTGCGTTAAGTTCACGCAAGGGTGTGCCCCGTTACACCTGGTAGCACTTATTAGTCCTTCCAGCGACCACCTCCACAACATCCAACATGAACATGCTGGATGAAGAAGACACCTTTCACGCCACGCGTGAAGGGTTTACCCATTTGAGTGACATCGAATGGAGTGCAGTAGAACGAATGAGTTCTACCGTGGGCGAGTTCGCCATTAGCGCCATGTTGGAGTCTATAGACAGAGACCAACAACAAGCCGCTATAGCCAAGTTCATTCAAAATGAACTCGTCGCCGAAAGGGAGAAAGTAGCCTTGCTTCACCAGCAAGGCTCTCAACAGGCTGAGCAGTTGAGAGAACTCGGTGATCAACAGACAGAGCTGTTGAGACAGCGGCAATTTCATGCTGCTGTGGGCGGGACGGCGCATGCGCGTCGTCCCGAGGTCATGAAAGTTGACATCTCCAAGTACAGTGGAGTCCCAGAGGACTCCCTGTTACTATGGTTTGTCGAACTCGACAGAGACCTAAGGGCTCGTCGCGTCGAAGATGAGCAAATGAAACTCACATTTGCTCAGACCCACTTGGCAGGGCGTGCCAAAACTTGGTCCCTGGGACTCGAGAGTAGCAACCCAAATGTGTTTAGGTCGCTAGATGACTTCAAGTCCCGGCTCAGACAAACGTTTGAGCTGCCACGGGCTGAGTTCAGGGCTCGTTCAGAGCTCCTGAAACTCAAGCAGGGTAAGCGTGATGTGCACGCTTACGCACAACATATACGACTCCTTGCGAGTAGTATAACTGCCAACCCAGTCCATGAACACGCGTTGATTACGGTGTTCATGCAAGGGCTCGCAGAAGGGCCCGTTAAGAGCCATCTGTTCCGCCTTGAGCTGAATACGCTTGAAGAAGCGATATCAGCTGCGGAACAGGAAGACTTTAGTATGAGATAGGCTCATGCTAGCTCAAACTCTTATCGTCCACCGAGACGACAAGAGATTGGAGGTCCAGAACCAATGGACCTCTGCTATGTTGAGAGCGAGAGACCTCGCTCTTCGAACAACAAGCGATTGCAGAAGTGCAATCGCTGTCAGAAGTTAGGGCACTACGCATACGAATGTAGTGCTCCACGCCCAGTACCAAACAGTACTAAGCAAAATGGACGACCATTTGCCAGAAAGGGCAATGGGCGTGGGTCCAGCGCTGTTGCGAAGCCGCAACAGCGAGACGGACCATCAAAAAATGGTCGGGGTAAGTAGGGGCGGAGCGCCCTACTGATCCAGCAACCTCAAGAGAATTTGCAAATCTCTTGACGAAAGTTGCTCCAGATACACAATCATTGTGTGTCTCTGCACCTGGTGATGACGTTTCGCTCATCACCTTGAAGTTGGAAGCGACAAATGATTTGTCGCTTCGTGCCCTAGTAGACTGTGAGGCGTCGAACAACTTTGTTCGACGCCAGTCACTAGAGGGTCGTAGGCTCAAGTTCGTTGAGCGCGACATTCCCCTCACAAGGATGACGGTGCGCCTTGCAACAGGCGCATCGATAACCGTTGAGAAACGTGTAGTAGGAATCCACTACACGTTAGAGGGCGAACAGTACGATGATGACTTCATCGTACTAGATCTGGATGACAAATTCGATGTCATCCTGGGATTACCTTGGCTCAGAAAGTACGAGCCAAGGGTGAGCTGGCAGCATCGATCCGTGAAGATGCCTGCCGCTTGTTCATCAGATGGCCATCTGATGAACATCTTGGAGCGTCCACAAGCGTGTGGATGTTCTGCGAGTGAGTGCGATGGCCTCACTTGCGGTACGGTCGTTAGCACGACTGCACAAGATCACAGTGTAGCTGATCACTACACTGTGGAGCAAGCTCCCGGCGGCTGTACAGAAGTACAGGCTGCGCCGAAGGTCTACCACTCGAATAAGTCGAGTGGACCGGGACATGTATGCATGCCTAGCGGGCAGCATCTTAGAAGAAAGAAACCTGTTGCCTTCAAAGGGCAACACGGATATCCTAAGTCGACTGGAGAGTCGACCGTAGAGGATCGGTGCCTGACTGTGGTTGCACGGCAACAGTCGGAAGACGTCGAGGGTATAAGTCCCCACGTAATTGAGGAAGGAATTCCTCAAGAGTCACTTGCTGAGGGATCAGGCCCTCAGCAACCTGTGGAAGCAAGTTCCCAGGAAGAAACCAAGACGTTGAACGTCTTGGTTAATGAAGGATCAAGCGTAGGCGCTTATACGCTTGATCTGATTGTGCCTCCGAAGTTAACTTCGGAGATAACTCAATTGCCAACGCTAGAACCGAAACGGTTCTTGCGTGATCTGCGTAGTGGCAAAGTCAAGCAGATCTGCATACTCGTCACAGAGGATGAGTATGTGGCCGATATTCGGTCGGCGACAGTATTTGGTGAGAACGAACGGGTTATCAGCAGCTCATCGATGGACGAAAGTATCCTCGATGAGAAGACTCGGATTGAGCGATACACGTCTCAATCCTGGGAGTCACTTCAGGCAAATCCTTTGTATAAGGATTTGATCGATTTCAAGGACGTATTCCCTGAATCCGTACCTTGCGAGTTGCCTAAGGACAAAGGCACTCGACACGAGATCGAGCTCAGACCGGGCTCGAAGTACTGTGCCATGAATCAGGGGCCAATGCCTCGTGAACAAGTACTAGCGATCGACAAGTTCTATGCCGATCGCTTATCAGCGGGACATGTGAGGGAATCAACTTTTCCTCATAGCTCTCCGACCTTATGTGTGCGAAAGGCCACAGGAGGGTGGCGGATAGTGCACGCATTCAACAAATTGAATGCTGCAACGGTACCGGCTCAGACGCCGATACCGAGGAAGGACGTAATCATAGATGGTATGTCAAAGAGTACCATCTTTTCGTCCATGGATCTGATGGATGGGTTCTATCAGATCCTCATGCGTGAACGGGACGTCCCGTTCACAGCAGTGAGTACACCCAGCAGGATGCTGTGGGAGTGGCTAGTTATGCCACAGGGGCTGAGCAACGCCCCTGCAACGTTCAACAGATGTGTCACAAATCTGTTGAGACCGGTGCGGGATTTCGCACCGAGTTATTTGACGATGTGTTCGTCCATAGCCGGGCTATGGACGGAAAGATAGACGTTGAAGCTCACAGAACTCACGTTTGTCAGGTTCTTCAACTTATGCGCAAGTATAAGTTGTACGCCAACCTCAAGAAGTGTATAATCGCGGCAAGCGAAATACCACTTTTTGGGTGCATCATGGGTAAACACGGCGTACGCCCTGATCCCGAAAAGATCAAGGCGATCACCGACTGGCCAGTGCCAGTCGATGTCAAGGGACTGCGGAAGTTCCTTGGGCTAGCGGCGTACTTGCACAAGCACTCGCGCAACTACGCCGAGATGACTGTTCATCTTTCTTGTTTACTCAAGAAAAATGTGAAGTGGACATGGAACGCTGAGTGCCAGCGTTCATTC